GCAAATAAAGATATATCATTATTACAAGCAATGTAGTAAGTATGTATATAATTCCTACAAGGATACAAGGCTAAATCGCCACCTAACGGGCGCAGTGGGACAGTCTCATTTTCTCATACTTATCAATTAATCTAATGTTCTCGTATACATAGTAGATGTATGGCAAGTACATGTGTCTGCTCAGCTATGCTCTGCTTTGCTCTGGGATTTCTAATTTCACACCTATGTCCTCATTGTTCTTGATATCAGCAGCTGCTATTTTTTGCTTTTATTTGTCTTTCTCTACCAGTTTCTGTCACTTGAAACATGCCTTCGTGTACACACATTTACGCATGCAAACAAAAATATTTCTGTTTTATTTTGTGCGTGCGCTGTATGTATGTATGTACGTATATATGTAGGTACCTCCATTGTCGAACTGTCTGCGACTTTTGTTTTGCTTTTTGCCAACGTCGTTTCCAAAGCTTGAAAATGTTAAATGTCAAAAGATACAAAAGTAACAAACGATACAAACTCGCACACCACGCCACCTACGCCAAACAACAGGTGTAAGTATATGTATATGTATATATGTTTGTATGTATTTATGTCCCTGTCTGTGTTTGGTTCTTTATATTTTCGCTGCCTACACAAAAGCACACCTTCGCTGTTAGTAACCACCCCACTGGCATTAGTATTGTCTTTATAGCCCATCGTTGAGACACATTTTCTACAGCGTAGCGCACAGTGTGTGGAAAATTTAGAAAATTATTTAAGAACTAATAAAATTATATCTAATTTAATAGTTCAGTAGTAACTATTACTGATTAAGTGCCGATTTCTCAAGTAGGTTTTAAAATTTATCGGCACTTTAAATACAAATTTTATTCTAAAGAAAAGTACATTTTAAAGTACACTTTAAATACAAATTTTATTCTAAAGAAAAGTACATTTTAAAACCTACTGGAAAAAATATGGCACTTAAATTTGCTTAAATAATTCCGCACTTTTTTCTTGAGATTGATCTTCGCACTTTATTCGGCAGAACCAAAAGCTCCAAACTGAACCGTTTTCAAGTGGGAACTTTACCAAAACCATGGGTCAAGTTTGGGAAAACGGTGTTTTTAATTTCTCTGTTTTACCTCAGGAGTTATTTAAAGAACTTTGAAATCTGAAAAATATGAATTTTTAAAGGAATTTTTTTTTTAATTCAGGGCATTGTAGAAAAACGCTGTGGGTATCAAAGTAAAGAGAAAATTAGAATTAATGTAGAATTAAAGCAGATTAATTTTTTTTAAGGACGAAAAGTTATTGAAAATGTACTGTTAAAATTTTATCCTTAAATATCCTTGAAATTCGGCAAGACTTATTTTTGAAAAATTCTTAAAAGATTAAATTAATTAAAAAAGCGTTTTCAATATCTAACTATTCTTCCCACGGACCAAAATTGTATTTTTTTTAATTCCACAGAATTTTCTCTTTCATTTGGCACCCGCGTTGTTATTCTACAGTGCACTGAATATTTTAAATAATTTTTGGAATAAATCATATCTTTGAGACAAAGATCGTTAAAAAAAAATCCTGACGCGTCTGAGAGAAAACCCAAAAACGCAGTTTTATTATATTTGATCCACAGTTTTTTGGGTACTTATTTGTACTGATTGCTTCGTGGGTTTCTATTTTTTATTTTTTGTTTTTTTGTGTTATTGCATTCACATAATATAGGAGGCAGTAAAAACTCTCAAAGACACGATTTTTGTAGAAAGGAGGTGAAAATTCTTATTTTATTGACCAATCCTTTTCTTTTCTTAAAATTAAAAGCCAATTTGGTTCTGGTTTTTGTCGTTGTCTTCGCTTTTGTCTTTGTGTTTCCCCGTCCCCAATAGTATTCAACGCAGCCGTTCGTCTTCTGTCCTCGCATTAACCATATACCACCCTCATAGTGGCGTTAAATATTTAATGCAAACATCTCCGAACTCGCTTAAGAAGTTTCATCTTAATCATTTTTAAATTTCCTTACCCCAGATCCAGGGATAGTAAAGCTTCCTCTACGATGAAAAACAAGGTGAAGAAGGACTTGGCTTCACTAGGAATTTCCAATTTACGTCAGTAGGCACAGAAGAGAAATTACCGGCCCACAGCCTCAAACATGAAGTAAAAGAAGAATAGGAAGAATAAGGAATCTTAACACGGGTTCTCTAATAATTGGTTTTACTCCCAGAACCATTCGTTTTGCTTCCATATCCAACTTGGCAAAGGCAGAGCAGCTCTTAATACATTAACAGGCATCAGATAAAAGCAATCGTATCATAAAAATAGTCTTACTAAAAATTTCGCTTGGTATCAAACGGCTATCTCTCCACATTCTGATGGAGCTGATGGTATTGCTCAACGTCTTCTTACACAGCCATTTTATTTATTAGTTTCATTGGTAGGTAGTTTGATGTTTTTCACATTTTACGTTCCTTTCTCCCTCCCCACCTCCCTGTATCGTTGAAGTGGATCAGCCGTATTGCGGTTTCGTGGTCTGAAGTTATTTTTGATCATATTGTATTTCTATTCCCTCGAGGAGTGTAGCGCAAATGAGCGAGATGTTGGGAGAATCTCGCTTTCATATAGATTATATCGAGACAATCGTCCACTGATGCGAACGGCACTGCTTGTTGGAGACGTCTCTCTCCCACTACAAATCCAACAGCGAATTTTCGATAATTTACTTTTGCAGCTGTCGCAGGCCCCAACATAACTTTTACCTTGCCGCTTCCATCGTATTTCTTGTATAGCGGTGATTTCAGTCTTTCCTATCAAGGGTTAAGAAATTTTAGGTCCATTCCTTTAAACCGTAGTCCCTTGTTCATTTGCCGTGGTCGTCATCATAAGAAAAGGATCTCATCCGAGACGTTATTTCATCTTTTATTGGATTCCAAACTCAGCGCATAACAATAACTAATTATAGTCGTAAGAAATAAGAAGAGATCTTATATATAAATGGGCAATCATGTTTCCTTTACACCCCTTTTACGGCTAAACTATACTTCCAAGGTATAAACATTTATACATCATTAGAAAGGTATTTCGATGCTGATGTGGAGACAATTTCTTAAATTTTAAATTAGTTTAACATAAGGCGAAAAAATCGATTTAAAAGTGACACCAATACAAATGCCATACATGTACATGGCTGGGCCGGAAATGCCTCCTAAATGGATGCTTTAATATTGATACAGAAACGTGCTAAGCAGCAGTTTAGGAATAAGATGTATGTATGTATGTATGTACGTATGTACATGACTAGATTAAGACTCAAACAAGGAAGAAGGAAAAGTTGAGTTTGTAGAAGAAGAAAGGGATAAGCGCAGAGATTAAAATAAAAGTAAAGAAATCCAAACATAAAAACAAAGAGGAACGTAAATTTAAATACTTAATATAATAGCTAAGGTGTGGGTGAATATTTAGAAAAGAATACAAATAAAGATCAGGATTAAAGTCAAGGAAGTAATAAATATAAAAATGAAAAGATAAAAAA